AAAGAAGAGGGAGTCAAGCTATTTTCCAAGGCACCTGAGGGCAGGACAAGAAGCAACGGATGGAAACTAATCAAGGAGAGAAGCAACCTAGAACTAAGGAGAAACTTCCTGACAGTTAGAACAATTAACCAGTGGAACAACCTGCCTCCAGAAGTGGTGAATGCTCCAACACTGGAAGTTTTTAAGAAGAGACTGGACAATCATTTGTCTGAAATGGTATAGGGTTTCCTGCCTGAGCAGGGGGTTGGACTCGATGACCTTCAAGGTCCCTTCCAACTTTATTATTATTATTATTATTATTATTATTATTATTATTATTATTATTATTATTATTATTATTATTATTATTATTATTATTATTATTATTATTATTATTCTTGCCAAAATGTCGACAGAATTAGAATCTTAGGAGTGTTACTCATGTGTGGCCAAAGGGCAAAGATTTTTGGAAAGATGTCTTCCATTCATTAAAATGGCTTGGTTGCCTCAATTACACGTTCATGTAAATTCTTTCTTCTTCAATTTCTTCTCCTTCCCAGTTAACCTTTGGTTGCTACCAAGCCAATGTAAATGTGTTACTTAAGCTGCAGTCCCTAATCCTTTAGGTCTGGCTGAGGAATTCTGGGAGTTGAAGTCCACCAGTCTTAAAGTTGCCAAGGTTGAGGACCCCTGCTTTAGGTGACATCCCTAGGACCATAAGATAATTTGGAATTCCCACTCACTGAGTTGGAACTGCAGACAATGGGATGCAATCCCCCTTCATCCTTTTTGTCAGCCTCCAGCTTCCATTTTCAGTGATGTTTGAAACTGCAACGTTTAGAAGAAGGAGAAGGAAAAGTGGTTGAATTAGTCTGGAAAGAGTTGAACAGTTGGGACTGTGGATCTGAAGGAGGCCAAAGAACCTTCAATCAATCTCCACAATCCAGGAGGAAGATTTAGATCATTTAGCTGGTCATTTATTACCTCTTCTCCCACTATCCCAAGTCTGGAAAATGAAAAGATGGAAAAAATACTTCTGCTCTCATTTCTGTCGCATTGTTCTGTAACCGATGAGTCACGGATGATCTTAAGCTGCCAATAAAAGAGCACGATGAGAAAAAAATGTGGAATTGTGCCACCTGTTTACAGAGAAAGGATTCATGAATTTTCCCAACAACTTGATGTCTTTGTTTTCAGCTACTTATTTATCTCCCTCTTTAGTCACCTTCCTCTTCTTCTTTTTTTAAGAAGGAAGGTTGATTTCCTTGTTTACCTGGCCTTATTTTATCGAAGTCTCAGAATGAGTCAAGCTAAGCCAAGAAGTAGCAACTGGACTCATCACTCAATGAATCTTATGGTCCACTGGGACCTTAAACCTAGGTTTTCCCATTCTTTGCCCAAGACTTCATCTGTACCACACTCTCAGAGAAGAATACATCAAGAATCCACAATGGGGAAAAAAACACAAATTGCCTTGAGAGGACCAAAGAGAATATGAAAGCCATCATGGATGTTTCTCTTGGCCAACTCCTAGAACATCATATGCAATGAATTCATTGAAACTAAGCAGCTACCAGTCTCATCACACCTAGCTGCCCTGTATGTTTTTCCACGATGGAAGAAAGCCAGGATATAAACTTTCAAAATGAAATAAATAATTTGTGTGCCATGGGCGCCTTTCTTTGCTGAACCAGTAGTTTTACACTTATCTATAATTTAAAACAAAGCAAGGATTGACAGAATGGCTGATCCAGCAGTTTTCTCCTTCTCCCTGCAAGTCACTGAAAACAAATGTTTTAGTTGACACATAGAAAATTACTGGAGGAACTTGGTATTTTACATGGGTTCCATATTGCAATTTATTCATGTGCATCAGACTTCAGCAGTGTCTAGCATCCAGCTTCATCTCTGATTGTTTATCTTCTGTTGTATTTTTAATCTCCTGCCTTATCTCTCCCATAAAGGTGAAGTTTGCTTTCTCCATGAATATTGTCTTAACATAACCCTGGTATTTTCTTTGTTGTTATCCCACAGATGGGCCAAAAAGGGCCACATTATAAAGGAAGCATCTAGTGATGCTTATGAGACCATCGTTGACTTCACTTATTTCTTTGAACCCATCTCTTGTGAGGTGACAAATGCTCTGGGAAGTACCAACATCAGCAGAACAGTCGATGTATACTGTAAGTATGGCTCAACTGCTGATTTACTAGAACATTGCTCAACACACTTAACACCTTGTGTTGGGTGTAGTGTTTTTTGTTTTTTTTTGCAGGACAAAAGCTGGCCATGGACCAGTTGATGGGGATACATCTTTTGAATGTCTCTTTAAAAACTGAGATAGTCTGACACAAAAATAACGAAGTCAGAAAATGAGACCCATGTGCCAAGGATAATTGATCCTAATAACCATACTTTCCCTAATGTAAGATCTTTCTTGTGAAAGGGCTGGAATAAACATTTCTTTAGCTAAGGCCCTTGGCTACAAAACAAGAAGAATTCATTCAAACCCAATGCTTGAGCTATAATGTTGTTGTTTTTTCATATGTATTGTGATGACTATGTTAAATTTTAGAGGCTGTTCTGTCCTGCATAGAACTTCAATGATTTTTTTTTTATTTCAGTTGGGCCACGCATGATGACGGAACCACAGTCTCTTCTTGTTGATCTTGGATCAGATGCTGTATTTAATTGTGCCTGGATTGGAAACCCATCTCTGACCATCGTTTGGATGAAGAGGGGCTCTGGTGTGGTAAGAATGATGGGCAGCGCTGCTCAAAGTTGGCCAGATGTTTGAGGATAGATTGCAGAGCTCATTGATGCCTTGCTGGTCTACCACTCACCTCATGCATTCTTATTCTTACTCTTTGTGGCAGGGAAAGTCTCCATAACTTATCAAATGCGACTTTTAACATGTAGAGCATTTAAAAAACATTCATCTCCTCTTCTGCGATCTGAAGGGGGAAAGGAAAGCTCCACAGAGACAAGCAGGTTTTGATTCTTTACTGCTAGCATTCCTCCTTCTATGGGAAGGAGAAATTTCATGGTCTAGTCTACAGAATTGATTTTCAAGCTGAGCCACAGGGGACGACAGGGAAGGAAGTCATCCTTAGGATTGGAATACAGAAGTCTATTCTACTCCACCTGGGTTCTCCACTGACCTATGGAGACTTCCTCAACACATAGCGGCCCTGCAAAGTAGACCAGAATGCTGAATAGGTCAAGACTGCCTTGATTGTTACATCTACAGTAAGGCAATTGTGCAAGCCTCAATATGCTTCCTCCTCCTTTGCTTTCTTTTCGTATGAACTGGGGAGGGGCTTGTCTAAAATGTTTTCTGAAGTTATTTTCTTGGCCAGGACTCAAGTCCCTCTTATCTGACAATTGACTTAGTAGCAGCAATTCCTCCTGTCCTGCAAGGGCATTCCTTATTCTCTCTGCAACAGCCTATTTCTCTTCACTGGCTAAATGGATGGAAAGAAAACAGTGTTGTGGTGCTCAAATAGTCCAGCAATGTCCAGCTTTGGTAGGAGTCTTCCTTGAGCAACCAAGCCAAGGAAAGGATGGTATATTGTCCTAATCCAGACTACTAGGCAGTGATAGTCACCCGCCTTGAATGGGAAGGTCTTTATAGTTAAATTAAAAGAAGAGGAAACGTTTGACTATGCAGAGGTCGTGAAGGTTGATTTATGTAACTGGCCTGATACAAATGGAAAGGACCGGTTTCCATGGCGCTCACAGCTCTTGGAGCATTTTCTGCTTGCAAAGGGCAGCTTCACAAAATAGCCCTAATAGAAACTGAACAGTTTCCCATTATGAGCAACATCCAGGTTAACTAAAGGCCAGAGCCTCATTTAATCTCTTTGTGGCAGGTGAAGCTATTGTAAACTATCATTATACATTGCACACTCATTGTGAGCAGCCCAAGCTGAGGCTGAGATTTGCTCTGGATCTTCTTTGCTTGGGATTATGCATGCCCTTGTAATCATTTCACAGTCATAGAATCCAAAGATGTCTTGCACGTCTTAGTGGTTCTGTCTGTCTATCATCTTTCTTTTATCTATCTCCATCCATCTATTCATCCATCCACCCATCCATCTATCCATCCATCAGTATCTATATCATCTATCTATCTATCTATCTATCTATCTATCTATCTATCTATCTATCTATCATCTATCTATCTATCTATCTATCTATCTATCTTCAATACAGAGCAGTTGTATTCCCTTAAAAATAATGTCTTTTGATGGAGACAGTCTGCACAGGAGCAGCTATTTTACACTATAATCAAGTGCTGGAAAAGCATGAATATATTTATCAGCTTCAGTCAAGAATAGATGGAATCCAGAATTTCACTCTTCTTTTATAAATAAACTGGCATATTAATAGACGTCCTTCAGCAGGATTAAATTTATGTCCTTTCTCAGCAATAGAACTCTTCTTCTGTATATGCAGTGCCCAAAAGAATGGTGGCTAGCAACCAAATCATTCCCAAAGGCAATCTGAAGCCTCTATGGTCAATGTGCATTATTGCAACAAGGATGCCATTGAACAAGAACTCTGAAAAATCCTCACCACATTACATATATTTGGATGCATAGACGCATGATACAGATCTGAATACAGTATCACTGTATGAAACCTGCCCAGTGGTGGGATTCAAATATGGGAACAACCAGTTCTCTGTGTGGATGCCGCTTCCAGAAGTCCATTCTGGGCCTGGGTAACAAAGAATTAGCTACAGGTCCTGCCGAAGTGGTGCAAACTGGCTGAATCCCACCACTGGACCTGTCCCTCCCCCTCTATTCCCACAATGCTCACACCTACAAGGGTCAGCCTTAATGCGCGTGATGGACTCTGCTGCATTCTCAATATAGAAACCCATTTCGGTCAGCACCTAGGGAATGGTGGAAAGGGGTATATGGTCCTTCACATTGAGCCCCTCCCATTGTCTCTGCCACCACTGCTGGCCCTAGGCCTATCTGTGCTCATGAACAGATTGCTTTGTACGAGTTTCACTCTGAGCATCTAAAAAAAAAAAAACCAAACCAAGCCAAAACATGCTTTAAGTTGCAATACTTTCCCAGTCTCGCTGGTTTTGATGTAGGATGCCTCTGCAATATCTTTTCACTACCGCTGAAGGCCTTTATGTGTTTTACTAAATATCAGTGTAAACTCCCCATCTGTGCAGCAGAGTTGGCTCTAAGATCAGACACTCAACGGTGCCAAATGGAAAACATGCTGGGTTGTATTTACAGAGCAAACACATACCAGAAAGGCAAAAGGAACCAGGCCCAAAGGGACGCCGTCCAAATTTCCACCGGAGAAAGAAAGCAGATGCTCCAGCTTGCTCTACGCAGATAGGTGAAGGGAGACCATCACCCAGTATGCAGCTCCCAGCATAAGCACTTAATGCCTGTCTATTTCAGCTGCAGATCGGTCCTGACAGCTCCAGTTGTACAGATTAGGAAATTAGCTATTGCAACTTCCATAAGCAATTAGAAGAAGTTGACTCTTAAAGGGCATATTTGTTTTAGACTCATCATATTTCCAAATATCACAGGAGTTCGCATTTTGCTGACTGGGCTGCACGAAAATTCCCTACTTCAGCATTTAAGAACTTTTAATAAAATGGTTGATTGCACCAGTGTGGGTTATAGGGCACGATGCCTAGTAGTGCAGATGCCAAAAGGGCCAAAGGAGCTGGAACAGGATCAGGGCTGTATGACACGGAGCTGATTTTCATGATACTTTTGTAATAGGGTGGCTGTGACCTCAAAATAGCAATTCCTCTGCCTGGAAATACAACGGAGAATTTTTAGACATTAGCTAGGATACAATCCAGCTCTTGAAAATGAAATGTTCATCAAGACATTAGCTTTAGGGATTTGGCCGTCTCTGCTCTATCTAAAAAAAATAGCGAGGAGTACAATTCTCAATTAAAAGTTGCAAATTCAAAGATGCTTCCTTCTTCCTTACGAACTTTTTATTTCACTTCCCCAAGCTGGCTGGGTTGTCCATTGATGGGGATAACCCTCCAAAATTCTCAGGTTTACCATATTTTCCGGCGTATAAGATGACTGGGCGTATAAGACGACCCCCAACTTTTCCAGTTAAAATATAGAGTTTGAGCGAGGGGGGGGGGAGAGAAAACTTGATTTAATTTAATTTAATTTAATAATTTAATTTATATACCGCCCTTCTCCCGTAGGACTCAGGGCGGTGCACAGCATATTAAAACAGATACAAACAAAATACATCAAAAAACAAAAAACCCCATAAAACCAAATTAAAAGCCAAATATTGGAAGCTGTGTGTCAATTAAAATTTTCTTAAAATCATCCCTACCTAAAANGGCCGACGGCACCCTGAGGAGGCCCGCTCTGTGGGAGCGTACCGGTCTATGGGAGGGAATCTGTGGCAGAAGGCGGTCTCGGAGGTAGCCAGGTCCAATGCCATGGAGCGCTTTAAAGGTGGTAACTAACACCTTAAAGCGCACCCGGAAGACCACTGGTAGCCAGTGCAGCTCGCGCAGCAGCGGTGTCACATGGGAGTAATATGCCAAACCACATGTGTAAAGGAATAAAATAGAATACCCGTATTTTCCGCCGTATAAGATGACTGGGCGTATAAGACGACCCCTGACTTTTGAGAAGATTTTCAGGGTTTAGAAAGTCGTCTTATACGCCGGAAAATACGGTATATTAGCTGCTGAGCATTTTAGTTTCATTTCTTATCATTTATCCAGTTTCTCAGGGAAGGAAGAAAAGGGGCTGAGAATATTTGGATCATCCATGATATGAAGAAGTCCTAATAAGAGCCGAACCTGTCCAGAAATTGCAAAAGATTAAAATGTCTCCTGCATGAAAAGAAGGGGGAATAGAAAGGGAAATCACGACTCACTGAAATACTGAAGAAGGGCACTCCAATAAAATATTTTATTATACAGATAGTCCTTAACTTATGAACACCATTGAGCCCAAAGTCTCTATTGACAAGTGAGACATTTGTTGAGTGAATTTTGCCCCATTGTATGACCTTTCTTGCCAAAGTTGTTAAGTCAATCACTGCAGCGGTTAAGTTAGTAACATGGTTGTTAAAAGAATCTGGCTTCCCCATTGACTTTGCTTGTCAGAAGGTTGCAAAAGGGGATCACATGACCCTGGGACACTGCAACCTTCATAAATATGAAGTAGTTGGCAAGCATCCAAATTTTGATCACATGAGCATGGGGCTGCTGCAACGGTCATAAGCGTGCGAAACGGTCAAAAGTCACTTTTTTTTCCAGTGATGTTGTAACTTCAAACGATCACTAAATGAACTGTTGTAAGTCAAAGACTACCTGTATATAAAGCCTTGGCTATTCCAAGCCATTAAATCCTTAGCCAGCTTTCTGTCGGAATGAAGCTTGGGATCAGCATTGGGATGCTGCTAACAGAGGTTAACACTTGGATGCAGCTGTCTGAATGGTTAGAGAAACTAGAAAGAGGTAGAGACAGATGGGGCAAACTAGAAGGGAGCTAGGTAGTACTGTGAAGGCCTAGCCAGAAGAAGACACATACTAGGCAACAGATGGCAAACTAAGATGGGAAGATAACACAAGATGAAGGACTACCTTTCTACGCCAGAAGCTCATTTTCAGGTGCCTCTGATATTGCCTAACTGGCTGGACTACTTAGTGGTTGGTTCCCATGCTTGGCCAAGACACAATGTGGTTCATTTACTTGTTTGTAGAACCATATCAGGATATGAATGAATGCCCATGGATTGCTTGCGATTTGTAAACCATCATTTCTGGAGTAGGGTGATGTGTGCCTGATACATTATGTTTAAAACAAACTATGACTTAGCACAATGTCTGGATCCAGCTGTTTCATTCTTGAAAATTGAGATGGCATGCTTGCCTTCTTGGTTTCAAATCTATCCCCTGGAACAAATTCTCTCTTTTTTTCCTCCAGGTCCTGAGCAATGAGAACACACTAACATTAAAAAACGTGCGTCAAGAAGATGCTGGGAAATACGTCTGCCGTGCCGTGGTTCCACGTGTGGGTGCAGGAGAGAGAGAAGTGTCTTTGACCGTCAACGGTACTTACCATTTACTGTCATTCCTCTGGATCAGGGGCGGGCAATTATAGCAACTTTATGAACTGTGGACTTCAACTCCCAGAATTCCTGAGCCAGGCATAGTTGGCTCAGGAATTCTGGGAGTTGAAGTCCACAGGTCGTAAAGTTGCCATAGTGGCCCACCCCTGCTCTGGATGGTTATTTTTCCTGTTCAGTGTATGGTTATTAAACTAAACCTTAGTTCCTCGTGGCAAAGATACACAACATTCAAAGGCCAAGAGCTTCGTTGAGATTGTCAACAGGAAGTCACACTCCAATAGCTTGAGCCAGTATTAAGATTCAGAGCTGTTATGAACTAGCTTTGATTTGATACCATGAATATCATTTATCCCATGAATTTGATAATTCTCATATTCCAAAGTACAAATCAAGGGAAATTTTTGGGACCATGCCAAAACGTGGAGAGCAGGGGACACAACTGGCCTTGGGCTTCAGGTTTGCAACAGTGTCTTTTGGACTTATATTTATGTTCTTATTGATTCTGGGAAAACATGCTGTTTTATCTCAGGCCATAAATTGACATAGCCAGCAGGCTAAAAGGTATAGGATAGAAAACACCCCAGCTCCTGATTCTCTCCCTCTGCTACTCTGATTCTCTCCCTCTCCCTCTGCTACTCCATGCTTATCTTTGGAGTGGAGACAAAATATAATGTCACTCTTTTTTTCCCTCTCTCTCTCTCTCCCCCTGAAGGATGTATATTACCTTCCACGCAAGAAACCCCCGGTCAAAATTCATTGGCTGGTCTGGATTGCATTTAATTTTGAATGCAGAGCTGGTTGTAAGGAGGCAGCATAGAAAGCTAAGCTAGGCCATCCGTTAAAAACAAACAAATAAATAAATAAATCCCTTTGCCTCCCCTGCTCCATCTCTTATCTCAGGCTGACTTTTCCCTGTTGGTTGCTGCGGTTTAATTAGAATTTAAATACCTTGTAGAAAACAAAGTGATACATTTGATGAAAACAAAGAAGTTGCTCCTTTCCCCACACCTTTGTTCCCAACACAATCACACCTCTCCTTCCCCCCCCCACCCTCGAATTAAAAAGAAATAAATTATGAAAGCCTTGTTTTTAAAGAAACTTACTTGATCCTGAGGAGTAAATCTTTCACAGAGGAAAGTGATAAGGGGCTGAATAAAGCACAGAATTATCTCCTCTGGCTTTCTTCTATTTTCAGAATTACCTAGAAGATGCTTCAATAACCCTGTCCCCACCAAAAAAAATAAGGGGAAAAAAGAGAGCAAAGAGGGGGAAATAGCCCACTGACCTTCATTATTACCTATCAGTAGTTTATTAGACCGCATTGCTAGGTTACCGTTTTTGTAGTGCCCAATGGCAGGAGGTCACCTAGGATGAAAACTGGTTCCAAAGAGGCTGCAGTCTTTCTTTGCTAGACAAGAAAGAGAACAGAAGGGGAGAAGTCACTACAAATAAAGAGTACAAGGTTAGGTGGGAATCACACAACCAAGTAGAAAAATAACTTGTCCATTTTGGTTAGGCTCAACTGAATATTTTGCTAGCCATCTGTTGGTTTCAGTTGACTCAGTTGATCCTGATAAAACTCCATATGTGTTTTGCTGGACAGTTTTTCCAAGTGTGCAGCTTGGTACAAACCTTGGAAGAAATGCTTGCAAGTACACGTATGGACTGTCTACTTTTTTGCACCTTTCACCCAAGAAGTGTGTTTTACTACAACATGTTTCATTTCTATAATGCATATTTTTCTGTGCCTTTCTTTTCATACCTAAATAAATCGGGCATTTCTTTTGAGAATGATAGAACCATGATTGCTTCCACCTGCATGGATGCAACCAAGTTACTTTAGCGGAGGTCACGTTTGCTAATTGAGAAGATGTTGTGATGGGCAAAGTTTTTGTTTAACCAATGATTTGTGTGGAAAGGATCAGAATTGTCTGGCAGGTTTTTGCTGGGGAGACATTTTGGCTTTGCTTTTTTTTGGCAAGTTTCCATTTTCAACCTATATAAAGGCTGCCTTCAGAAACCGTGGGTGCTCCATCATTGGAGATTTTTAAGAAGAGACTGGACTGTCACTTATCTGAAATGGTATAGGTTCTCCTGCTTGAGCAGGGGGCTGGACTAGAAGACCTCCAAGGTCCCTTCCAATTCTATTCTATTCTATTCTATTCTATTCTATTCTATTCGCTAGCCTAAGGTTTACCCAAAAATTTATATTATGTTTATTATTAAATGCTGGTAGCAAAATTAAGCAGCATAATGAAAGACCCACTTTGAAGACTTCAGGCATGGGGTTGGATGCTGGAAATGGCTGCATAATTTCTGATTGTCCATCCTTCCTTTAAAGAATGAAGAGATGGCTTCTCTCAATGACAAGGCCCATGCTTTGAATGCAGTCCATCACATCAGTCAAGATATTATTGGTGCTAAACTTGGGATACATCAAGAACAAAAATCTCACATAGGCCAAATTTCACATAGCTTATTGACGTCCTGAAACTCACCCTTAGTCTTAAGCCCATATGGCACCCTGAATTCAAAATGTTTGTATATATTGTTAAAAAAACAACCCCAGATACCATCAAGTCCTCATAAATCAGCCCATGAAGCCATTAGGATCCACAATTTAACTTTTGTCCACCGCGGCTAGTTCAAGAAGAAACTTCACTCTTGTGCAGTTCCAAAGTGTTGTTTCTTTTCTTCTCCGCCCCCTTTCTGCAAACAACAAAGGGCCTTTAATCCTTCTCCTTTATCCCCATCAATTAGGATTGCCCATTGCCTTTATATGTGTAAGAAAATCCTTTTCCCAGATGGAAATAAAGCAAATCTTGACATCTTATAAGAAATCCATTTTGATGCAAGCTTTTGCCAATCCAATCCAGATAAACAGTGCAGGGGGCAGAGGGGGGGGGACCCTTGATATTTGCCAGTTGTGTAAGAAAGATATTATTGTGCGCTGCCCAAATGTAATAATGATAAATGAGTATTGCCAGGAAGGATAGCTATAAACACAGTTTGCTTCCCACTGATAATTCTTCCCCTGTTTATATCCCCCATGTTAGACAGTGATGTTAATAAAGGAAACCCCACAAACGATCCAGGTTAATGCACGGAGGGAAGAAAAAATAAGAATTGCTCCAGCAGTACAGAAGCAAGAATAGAAGAAGCAGAAATAATATCAGTTTACCTACAAACATCTCTGACTTTATTCAATGCATGTAAAATCCATTTCCAGTAAGCAGAAGTAAAGCAGCTCAGGGCAAAGGTGTTGTTTTCTTCCACTCTGGAGGATTGTGGGTTTTTGTGTGTGGGGGTTTTTTTTTATCAGGGGCTCTGTTAGTCTTTTGTCTATATTGATTGACATTGGAGACTTAGTTAATTGAATACCTCGCTGTACAGCAGACATGTCAAACACAAGGCCCGGGGGCCGGATGCGGCCCGCGAAGTGATTTCATGTGGCCCGCGAAGCCATCCTGGAAACAGTGAGGGAACGGCCCCCTCTGCCTTGGCCCTGGCCCAGGCCGGCCAGGAGCCCATGTACAATGTTTTGGTGGCCATCTATGCTGAAATGCATTCAGTCTTAGCTCCATAAGCCCCCCCCCCCCGCATGACCTGAGAGGAACAGTGAGGCTCCTCCAGTGGACCATGCCTTGGCACTTGCCCTGGTCCCACCCCCTTCTGCCAGAGACCCTCAGATCTGTCTCACTCCTGCCCAGACCCCCATAGGCACCCTTGACGTGAATGATGTAGAGCTGACCACACCCACCCAGTAGGCCACACCCACTCCATCCACACCCACCCAGTAGGCCACACCCACCCTGGCCACACCCACCTAGCCCCCCCCGAGGGCAACCGCAATGCTGATGCGGCCCTCAATGAAATTGAGTTTGACACCCCTGCTGTACAGCATCTTTACCAAAACAGTTCATGGCATGTTCTTTCAGCCTAAGCATCCATACTCCAGGATCCCCCTTTCAAGCAAGACAGTTGTGTGATAAGAACATATTGGCTCTCAGATGTGCAGGGAACAAGGAAATTAAAGCTCTGTTCAGCTCTTCTCCTCATACATGTCAGCCCTCAACTCCAGGCAGGAGAGGAGAAATTAGCATGCTAAGCTGGCCTTCTCATTTCAACACTCCTAGGTTTCTAAACTCTCCAAAAAGAGAAATTCCATGGATTGAGAAGACTTTCAGTGGCAAACGAATGTTTCCCTGTTTTGCTTATTAGAACATGTGGAACACATTTTGCATATTAGGAGATATGGAACCTTTTGCATATAGTAATAGAACAACTGCCTAGATTTCATTCATAAATCTATACCATGAAAGTGTCATGGTTCCAACAGATGAAACTCTTCAAAAGAACATTATGGGAGTGTCAGTTTAACTAGTGATTAAGGTGCTGCCCTAAAAACTGGGAGATTGTGAGTTCTAGTCCTGCCTTAGGCATGAAAGCCAGCCAAGTGACTTTGGGCCAATCATTCTTTCTTAGCCCAACCAATTTCATAGGGTTGTTATTGTGGGGAAAAAGAGAAGGAGCAAGGAGTATTATGTATGTTTGCTGCCTTGAGTTACTTATAAAATAATAAAGGCAGGATAAAATATATATATAGTAAATAAATAAATAGGAACCGACTGTCTATCCTTCCTTAATAGATGTCTTTTATGATAGGGAAAGCATAAACTAGCAGCAGTAAAATACAGGTAGGCAACAAATGAAAACCCATTATGTCTATTGGGTACAAATAAATTCAACAGTATATTATTTTAATGCAGGCTTCCTTCATTTCACCTGTTCAAGCCAGTCTACATGTTTAAAACTCACCTTTTAAAATCTGCCCTTTAAATATTTCTGCTGCCATTATTGATGTGATTGGGATTAACTCCTGTTTTTCATTCAGGAGCTGAAGTCTGAACTGAATTTTAAAAACTTCACCAAAAGGGGCATATATATTAGAGAAAATAATGGAACATTCGTTATGTCAGTAA